GGCTAAGTAATTTTCTCAAATGGTAATGGCCTACAAATGATAACTAGCCCAACAATTAACAAATTATAATGGAAATTTTTTTAAGTATCCTACACGATTTGAAATAAATTGCAACATTACCATTAATAAAATTTTAATTGAGATTATACTTAATAAATAAGTATTATTTGCATTCATGCCTAAATAACTTACTCCTCTCTGTCAACCCTATCCCATAATTTTTACTCACGATTTTCGGATTTATGATGGAAAGAATCAAATTTTGAATTTGAAAATACAAGATCATTAATACAGGCGGAAGAAAAAAATTAAAAAAAAAAAAGCAAAAGTGATCGTCGTCGATCGTTCTCCATTCCTTAACATATACCAGAGAAAAAATTTGTACTTTGTCAATCATTTTTTCATTGATACGACGAAGAAAAAAATAGCTTCATCAATATAGAATTAAATCATAAGAGTAACAGCTTTGCGTGTCAAATGGAAAGATATGAAAATCGATCTTTGAAGATTAGTCGTCGTTTCTACACATATCGATTCGAGAAATTAAAACACAGAACAAAGCTATCGGATCTCCCAATTCACGTCACAGGAAAAAAAAAGTGAAAGACGTTCGGGGAGTATATGTGCAGTATATTTTTGGTATTTGTTCATAGTGAAAGACGATTGGATCTCCTGTACAAATCAATTCGCGTCACAGAAAAAAAAAAAAAAAAGTGAAAGACGTTCGGAGAGTATATGTGCAGTATATTTTTTATATTTGCTAATAGAAATAAGTTGCGTAGTTTTTAATATTTTTGGTTTATGTTCAACAATTAATTTTATGTGTGCAGTACAAGTATATTTTTGGTTTATGTTCAGTATATTTTATCTTTGTGTTCAGTTTATTTGGAGTTTATGTTCAACAATATATTGTTTGGTTTATGTTCAGTATGTATATTTCACTAATCACTCACGATTTTGGAGTATATTTCACGTCATAGAGAAGGTATATGTGCAATATATTTTGGTATTTGTTCATATAAATAAATTGCGTAGTTTTAATATGTTTGGTTTATGTTCAACAGTTTATTTATGTGCAGTATAAGTATATTTTTTGTTTATGTTCAGTATATTTTATCTTTATGCTCAACAATATATTGTTTGGTCTAATATAGAAATGACTAAAACAAATCTATCAGACGTAACATAAAAAAGGACAACAAAAAGGTATCACATATACCAAACATATAACAGAAATAAACCATTGGATAATAAAAAAACCACACCAAAAAATATCGCATATCCCAGACGTAAAATAAAAAAACCGACAACAAACATGTATCGCATATACCAAACATATATTGGACATATATTGTACATATACTCCAATCCAATGTACGAATTTCAACGTAATGACCAATCTACACACAATCTAAAACCCTAAATAATCAAAGCAAAATTCAAATTCCCAGTAACCAACCAATCATCTCTCCCCGATTGTGGCGACGCCGAAACCCTCTTTAGAGGACGTCGTCGGCGGGGGCAATTGAGGAAATCATGCTCCAGAATATATTCATCTTCTCTCTCGTTGACTCCATGTAAAACGATTCTTGCATCGCCTACATGTAGATGATGACCGCGGGAATGGCTCGGTAGATGATCTCGTCGAGGGAGTAGGACTCGGTGGAGGACGACGTTGAAGGGGACGTACTTGGTGGAGAAGCCGAGCGTGGCGGCGGGACTTGTGTGAATAAGATATAGAGAGAGCGGTGTGTGAAGAAGAGAGAGTGGGGGGAGGGGAGAGGAGAGATGCATAGATGATGGAAGTTACCATATAAATAGAAAATTAATTTTTGGTAACTGATAAACTCTCATTAATTTCTCCATTATCTAGTAACAATACTATAAATATGAAAAACATATTTTTAGGTGTGAGCTCTTCACTAGATACGGCATTGTCTATGAGTGCTGGGACTATATAAGGAAGGCTCAAATCCTCATACCCTTGTCTTGACTATTGCTATGTTTGGTAAACCAAATAAGCTAGCTTATAGCTTATTTGGTTAGCTTATAAGCTTACTGTATTCAAATAAACCACGTTTGGTAGGACGAGCTTATTTAAAAAGCTCGAACTTATTTGATAAGCTTGTTTAGGTAGCTTTTCAAATATGCTAGTTGAATTTTTTATTACAACTAGCTTATCAGCTAATTTTACCAAACACTTTTATCATTTAAGCTAGTTTTTCAGCTATAAGTCATAAGCTATAAGCTCGAAAATTACATATAAACTATAAGCTAACTTATCAGCTGTCAGCTAGTTTATCAGCTAGTTTTACCAAACATAGCCTATACAGTCACTAGGATGTACTATTATTTAAGTGCAGGGTGCAAATTCTTCAATTATAATTGGCCTAAAGAATAACATTTATCCAGCCCAATTGCTTCTCTAAATCAACTTGAATCATTCAGCCCAATTCCTTTCTTTTTTTTTTTTTCTTTCCATAAATGGTTGTCTATGCAATCCCATTTGCAGTCTAATGCAAGTGTAAGCGTCCGGGTCAGGTTTGGAGTAGATTGATTCTTGTCCTTGCCGGTAGAACGCCGAGAACCTGCAAATAACTCTCACACCGGGGGTTGGATCCGGTGAAGAGCCTCCGATGCTTAAGTCAGTATGTGTATGAGTA